CTGATACAGAGAATAGACTGCACTGAAAGGGAAGCTACACTTTTATGAAGTCACGTTTAGGAAGGTTAGGATGGAATTCCTCCTGGAAAGTATATCAAAAAAAGTTTAAGTTTCCCTGTCCAGTTGTGTCCAACAACTGGAGAGTGATTGTCTATGTTTCTTATTCGAGAGAGCCAACGATGTCTGAAGACCCTTTCCATGGTCATGTGGACGGCATGACTATATGCCGAGGTCCATGGAACACTTTATCTTTCAACCGGAGTGGTACCTACTTATCTACTCACATTTGCGTGCTTTCAAGTTGCTAAGTGGGCAAGAGCTGAGGTGGGGACGGGAGCTCACCCTATTATGCAGCACCTGACTTTCACACCCGAGCTGTCAGCTTTCCAGCTGATGACCTCCACGTTTTAACCGCTGAGCCATTGCATCCTAATTATTCTGAACTAATTCAGAATTATTTCAATATCTGTCATATGAGGGTTATATAAACAGTATCTTCACACACAAAATAATAAAATCAATTAAATTACAGGATGAATTCTCTAAGTCACAGAATCTACACGTTCCCCCACCCACCCAAAAAACAGTTGGACTCCTGGGCTTCTGCTTCTCTTGTTTTTGTAATATATACTGTGTCCAGTGGAGGCCCCTTACCTGTGGGACCTTGAAGAGGCTGAAGATGGAGGCCATCTGCCTTGAGGATTTGTGGTTGTCACCTCCAATGACGGAAAGCAGAAGGTCCTGCCTGTCACATTTATATCCTGGAACCATTCGGCCTCGTGTGGAGAGGAGGAAGAGGCTGAATAAGAAAATCCTCCTCTCAAATTGATGATTGTCATAGATGTGGAAGCCAAGGGTGATGTTGGGAAGGAGAATTGGATCCTTGTTGACCTCTCTGACTGCAAATACCAAGGCCATAAACTGCTGGTAGTTCTTGGGTATTATTCTAGAATGAGGAAAACATTGGGGAACATTACAACAAGTTTTTGTATTGAGTCTGTCATCTGCACCTCCATAACTGTCTGGTTTGGTTCTGCAACCCAACAAGACAGACACATACTTCAGAGGAGAATCAGAACTGCAGAAAAACAATTACTACCAACCTGCACGCTGCATGAGACAAAAAGAGGGCCGTGGAAATAGTTACAGACCCCTCGCATTCTGGACATAAATTGTTTCAACTCGTACCCTCAAAATGACACTATAGGGCTGTGCACACCATGACTACTAGACACAAGGACACCCTCCCCCCCCCGAACGCCATCACTCTGCTAAACAAATAATTTCCTCATCATTGTCAAACTATTCACTAAGGCTGCATTACTATTACTATTAGTCTTCTCATCGTTCCTGTCACCCATTTCCTCCCACTTATGACTACAGGACTATAACTTTGTTGCTTGTATCCTTACGATTTATACTGATATCGATTGCTTCCTGACTGCTTATTTGTTCCCTATGACTATCATTAAGTGTTCTACCTTATGATTCCTGGTGAACGTATATTGTCTTTTAATGAACACTGAGAGCATCTGCACCAAAGACAAATTTATTATCTATCCAATCACACTTGACCAATAAAGAATTCTATTCTATTCTATTCTATTCTATTCTATTCTANCACAAAGTTCCTTCAAACTACGCAGAAATCAAAAAAGTTGGGGCCTAAGTATGTAGGCCCGTTTCCCATAATCAAGGTCATCAATCCTGTTTCGGTTCGCTTACAGCTACCCAAGCACCTCAACCGTGTATATCCTGTTTTCCACATTAATCTCATTAAACCTGTTCGTTTTTCATCTTTACGTCTGCCAGTGGATCCGCCACCTGCCCCCCTATTGATTGATGGTGAGCAGCATTTTGAGGTTCGGGAAATCTTGGACTCTCGTAGACGGCGGAACCGCCTTCAGTACCTGGTGGCTTGGAAGCATTTTCCTCAGTCTCATGCCGAGTGGGTGGACAAGTCCCATCTCCGGGCCCCCCAACTGCTCCGCCAGTTCTATTCTGCTTATCCGGACAAGCCCTAGCAGACTCCCATTCCTGAAACAGAGTTCTTTTCAGGTGGGGAGGGGGAGTAGAATGTTTAACTCCTTAGCATTGACGCATGTTAATATAATCCTGTATGTGAAATACTGATGATCTAGTGGTCATTTTGACAAACCCTTTCTTAGCGAGCATCTAGAAGCCAAGAGGAACAAATAGCCAAGCCGAATTTCAAGTTTGTAAGCTCTGGAGATTTCGTGATGAGTGAGTGGCATTTGGCTTTTATTTTATAAAGATGAGACACAGAAACAACACAGTCTAGTTCGACAGTCTAACAACAACTGTCACAAGGCTATAAATCAAGAACTATCTGTACACTCCTTAATTCTACATCCTATTTCTGTGATGGCGAACCTATGGCACATGCGCCAAAGGTGGCGAGCGTAGCCATTTCTGAACACACACGAGACAAGAGCGCGCTGGCCAGCTGATTTTCGGCCTTGATTTTTGGCTGGGGTTTTTTTTGGCCTTGATTTTCACTCTCCGAAGGCTTCCCTGAAGCCTCTGGAGGGCAAAAACTACCCAACGGGAAAACTGGAAGTTTGCGAACGGACTTCCGGTTTGCCCATTGAGTGGTTTTTTGCCCCCCTGAAGGAGAAAAACATCCCAATAGGCAACCCGGAAGTCCATTCCCGAACTTCTGTTGGGTCGTTTTTTGCCCTCCAGAGGCTCCAAGAAAATATCTGGAACCTGGGGAGGGCAAAACATGGACCTACCAAGCCCACCGGTAGTTGGAAAACAGGTTGAAGGGCCTCTGGGGGAGCGGCGAGGCCGTTTTCACCCTCCCCAGGCTCCAAGGAAGCTATGTGTGCATGCACAGGGCAGTGGGGGAGGGCACATGTGCATGTGCAGGGGTCACGGTGAGATTCGCCATCACAGGACCTGTCCTATTTCAACCCCTTTCTACCGATGGTTTGGAAGGAATCGGTCCGTGGGCATTTTCTGCACACACCTCGCCTGATAAAGACAACTTGAGGTTGAGGATTTAATCTGGTCCTAACCTGGAGTTGAACTGAGCCAGCAGCCGAGGGGAAATTTTGAAAATGAGAGTTGTTGGGTGCCTCGGACCTTTTTTGAATTCAGAAGAATTCAAGCGTTCGGACAGGAGCGAGACTTACCTGGCGTGTGAGGGAGACTCGTTGAAGCTGAGGGAGACGTTGGGGTGGAGGAAAGGACTTTCAAGGTGGTAGCAGGACTTCCACTTGTGCGATTGGTGGAGGGTGGAGCAGATGGTCCCAGGCTGGTCCTTCCTGAGTTAGAAGACAGAGAACCGGTGGACGCGTCTTTTGGGGGGTGTTTTCAGGCTATTCTTGGGGCCATTTTAAGGATGTTTTTGAGGTGTTTTCAGGCCAATTTGGCGGTATTTTCATGCCCCCCAAAAAACACAAAACCAGCCCAAAAATGGATTGCAAAAAGGCATGAAAATGGCCCGAAAAATAACCTGAAAAATGGCAAAAAAAACAGGCATGCGCCTGTTTCTGGTTTCTGGTGCTTTGGCATGCTCATGTCCATGCGTTCTGGTTTGGGCACTCAGCGGGAAGAGACCTTCTCAGATGGACCTTCCTACCCCCAAAAGTCCTCTTTTCATCTTTACCACATGAGCTCTAGAGGGGTGAGAGGTGATCATGGAGGAGACACATATCAACCTTTGGGGTGAAGGTCAGGCATAGATCCCACAGATCTCCCAAGATCTCCCTCTTAAGCCGATCGTGTTTCATTTGGAGCATTTTCAGCCAGCTGCACATGGAAATGCATTCACAGACTGGTGGTCAACAATTCAGACAGGAGGCACGCTTACCTGGCGTGTGAGGGACACTCGTTGAAGCTGAGGGAGATGTGGGGGTGGAGGAAAGGACTTTCAAGGTGGTAGCAGGACTTCCACTTGTGCGATTGGTGGAGGATGGAGC